TCTATTTGAATTGCATGTGGGAAAAAATCATCATGTTATGTCTTTATTTTCAGCTTGTTCTGGCTGAAATCAATCTGGGAAAATCATTGTGTTTTGAGTTTATATTCAGCATGTTATGTCTGAGATTAAGTCACAAAAAAAAAAAAAAACAGCATGTTTGTCTTCATATTCAGCATGTTGGTGCAAGTCGTCATTTACTTAGCAGAGGCAAATCCACTGTTTTAGATGTGCCAAAATCCTTACTTGTGGCTGCTACACATTTTCCTTACACTGATAGACTTTAACTAATTCTTTTTGTCCGCATCAGTACTTCATATACAAGAATTAAATGGCAATTTTTTATCCACATAATGATAGAGAAATCATGACTTCAATACGAGGAATTTATATACATTATGCATGGCGTGCTGCTTGATTTATTCCTAATCAAGAATCTCTTAAACTAAACTCTTCATTTATTGATTGTTTTCAGCATGAGAAATTAGGCAAGCCTCCTACTGCTTCACAGTTATTCGAACGTGTACACTGTCGAAACAAAGGAGAAGGAGACTTCGTAGACAACACGTCACAAATTGTGTGGGTAAGTAGAAATAAATTCAGTTTTGATTATACTCTACGCTCTAAATTTCATGTCATTAGCTAGCTAGTCGTAGACACTAAATGGTGGTTGGATGATTACCTTCTTGGAGTTTTCATGGACTCATTATTTGCTCATGTACATTAAGTTACTCAGGAACTTCGTACAAGTAATAGTGTCACCACTTCATTTGTTCTATCATGTTTCTATATATTGTTGGTTTTCTTATAATAAAGAACTTTATATTGTATCTTCCAGCTAACTGAAGTTATATATTGTGGTAGCACTAAATAACTTTTAATGCATTCTGACATCGAGTCTAAAGAAATTTGGTTGATTTGTTGATAGCATTGTTTAATCCATTTTGATTCCTTGTCATTGATATTTGATGTAAATCAGCATGTATCTAGAAGTGATTGGTGATACACAAAATATGTTTTTATGGTTTTGGCTTGAATGACCCTTCAATTTTTATGGTTTTGGCTTGTTTGCATTCTGCCCATTGGCAACATTTAGATTCACTTGTAATATACAATAATTCTCGCCTTTTTTCCTTTTATAAAGTTGAGCTGCTTCTTGTTTTATAGGAAAAATATGACACTACAATTCATGAAAAATATGGTTCAAATGTGTCACAACCTAAAATTGAAATTGAGGCATGGTGTGAAGCAACTCAAGGTCCTTGTAAGGGTGGTCGCTTGTATGGGCTTGGTATTGAACAAAAATCTTTGCACAAAGATGTCACCTCCTCTGATTCACCTAATGTTTTATATGATAGGCACAACGATCACATCACTTTACAAGAGGAATTTCTTCTGCTTGTGAGAAGATAGAGCAACTTACAAAGGAAAATAATGAATTACTACAAAAAATGGAAGATGGTAGACGAGAAGAAGAGAAGAAGCACATTAAATTCGAACAAACCATACTTCGAATGTTGGGAAAAAGGAATGGATCACAAGATTATTCATTTGAGCACAATGATCTTCAATGGTTGGGCATAGTAAATGTTTATTTTGTTTATAAAAATTTACCATTGAATGTGTAGAACTTTCTTTTGCTAATTGATCAAGTGTATAACTTTAGGATTGACTTTTGAAATGGATGGAAGCAAAACTGATCTAATTTTGTATAACTTTGAATCTTGAAATAATGGAACGAAAATATTTGTATTTCGCATTTGTTTATTTATGATTTTATTTATATTTTTAACTTTTTAAATAGTTTTAATTCACAATAGAAATTTATTAATATAATAATTAATGGAATTTTTTTGTTTTGAAATGTAATCCAAATTTTCGGCGAAAATAAAAAATGGAAGATTTGTAGTTATTTAGGACCAAATAGTTCCGTAGGAAATATGTTGGTAGTTAGCGATGAAAACAAAAACGAAATATTTGTAACTATTTAGGAACAATTATTTCCATATGAAAATTTGTTGGTAATTCACGATGGAAAAAAAAAAAAAAAAGGAAGATTCGTAGCTATTTAGAAACAATTAGTTCCGTAGGAAATATGTTGGTACTTAGGGATGTAAACAAGAACGGGAGATGCGTAACTATTTTAGGAACAAGTAATTAAACTGTTGTTAATCACAAACAAATTAGTGACTAAATTTCCATCACCAATTAGCAACGAAAAATTTCGTTGGTGCACAGCGACACCTTTTTTCCGTCGCTATTACCGACGACTAATATAAATCCGTCGCTCATGTACCGGCAGGGTGTTTACCGTCGGATTTACCGACGGATTGATGTCGTCTCTAAAAGTTATTGCCAACGGATTTTGGGGCTTCAATGATACATAATTCCGTCTCTGAAACTGCATTTTTTTGTAGTGATTTTTACAGTGTACAACATGTATCCCGTAAATTTCCTTTTACAACATACATTAACGCATGTCATAAATAGTTCATTTTTTAAAAAAATTTAAAACTTTAAAATTTTTTTTAATTAATCTATACAATGTGCTTGAGAGTTACACTGTAAATATTCAGCTTTTACGATTTACCTAAAATGTGTGTCGTTAATACTTTAAGTAATTGATTATTACGGCACACATTTAAAATATACCGTAAATAATATATTTTTACGACATGCCTTATATGCATGTCGTAAAAGAAAACTACTTTTGTTGCAGTGCAAACAAGGTCAGACAGCCAAAAAGCTACCCCACAAGGGGATAGGGGAAAAAACCTTTCCCTGCTGAGTAGTCAGAAAACTAATTTATTAGGTAGGGCAGAAACCTATGCTATCGGGTAGCAAATAACTACCCTATGTAAGGAATGACAAAAACCTATGCATAGCAAATAAATGCCACAGGGTAGGGCAAAAACCATTCCTAATGTGTAACAAAAAAAAAAAAAAAAA